ATTTAGGAGGATCAATGCAGGTTCTAAGTACACAACCAGGCCTCTCATACAGTTGTATAAAGCTTGGAACGGCCCACACTCCACATTTTATAAATTATATAATCTCCTGGAATGGAAGCAAAATGTATTCAACTCAGAATAGAAGTCCAGTGTCTTTGTTTCATAACTTTTTTTTCTTCTTCCTTTTTTTTTGACTGGTCATGACCTGGATGACTGAGAATCTTCACCAGCATAAGGAAATATTAAATTTGGGATTTTGACGAAAGTAATTAAAAAAAGTCCTCTCTCATTATTTGGGCAAATAAAAATAATTTTGCGAATCTGACCTAAAATAGAAACGGTTTAGTCTGATTTAATGTCATATAGTAAAAAAAAGGTTGTCTTTCTTACAGTGCAGGTAAACATCTGGTTTTAGTTGTATGTCTACTATTATTGCACCCTTACTAATGACCAAAGACAAATATGACATGTAGAGATATACCTGCGTCCCTGAATGTCATTTTATAACATACTTTTATTTCTGTAACTGAGTAGTTCATTCTGTAAAGATGTTTCTGAAAAAGGAAAAAAAGAAACTCCTCTCCCTTGAACAACTGAGACATTCCACCACCCCCATTTCAGAACCTGGGACAGTTAAACCTTGTTTTCAGCATCTCTAACTCTGGAAAGTGTCAAAAGAATACTTTTATGGTTTGCAAGACAACCGAAGATCCAATAAATCTGAATAATATTAGAACACCCTTTCTGTGAACCCCAAAAATGGATGTTTGAGTCAACACAGATCACCCAGGATGTCCTGGTATCACCTTGTACCAACCTCCAACCAAAAACTATCCTTCAACAATCGTAAATAACAGAAAGCCTTGTCTCTGTTCAAAGGAATTCCAGCCTTGACACTTGGGTTTCCTTTCCTGCATGCAGAAAATGAACAGACTTTTATTCACATTCTAGAAGAAGTAATAATGTTTTTCTGTAATGAAATAATTGTTTACTGTGAATAACTAAATAACTCGCTATGCGTGTTTCTCCAGCAGCTGACAAGAACATGTGTAGCCCAAAAGTTTACAAACTTGTTTTCTGTTTATAAGGTTAACAAAGTGTTTGTATTGGTTTTAACCTTATTTAAAGTTGATAAGTGTCTTAAATGGATTTATTTGATGACTTTTTCAACAGAGCAGATTAAAATAATACTTTATTTTGTTGATAAAGTTCAGCCCTTCCATTTTGATTGGTTCAAATCGACCACCTCTTTCAAATCAGAGGTGTGGTCAGTTGTTTACAAGAGAGGAAGACCTCTCAGATGAAAGTGGAGTTGCGATGATGAAGAAGTGATGAAGACCTCCAGAGGGGGAGAAGGAGTAAGCTTTTAAGATACAACCTCCAAAAGACTTACAAGAAGAAAATGAGTTTCAATTTTGGCAAAGTTTGATAAAATTATCTTCATCGATCCAAACACCTGCAGTTATCATCAACAGAGTTAACAACAGCTGTCCAGAACTCCAGGAGACGCTCTGGTTGACCATTAGAGCCAGTGACCAAACTCATCACCTTGATGTCAGGGATATGAAGAAATTTCCACCTTTACATCAAAAGACCATCTGAGCAGAAAGAGTTCAACATCTGGTATCTTCAGGCAGCCTTCGAAGACGACTTCTGGTAAGAACAGCTGATTTGATACTCTGACGGTTGACTCTGGTGTCCAAGAATTTAGATTTTAACCAAATTAGTATTAACTCAGTTCAGTAATTATTTTTCCTTAAATTTCAGACCAAAATTTAACTATTGAACGATAAAACGTCTTTCTTTTAGTTAAATTTGCATGATTAATATGCCCTGCTGAAATTTCAAATTGTTCTACATTGCATCTTGTTTTTGGTTTGATTAAGCACATAGAATAATTTCATTTATCTGTTAATTCCTGCCAACAAGCAATTTTTAAAGGTCACATTAATTTCCATAAAACTCCAGTTGTGAACAAAGCCTTCATTTAAATGTCAGAAATAATTTCCAACTGTTGTTTTTATCATATATTCAAATAAACATCACAAAATGGTACAAAAGTGTGTGTGTTTTACTTATGACATCTGAATCCTTCATATAAAAGAACTCACAGTGTAAAAAGGGTAATTTAAGGTAATTAAACAATAATCTGAATTGATTTTTAGACCTTCAGATTTTCTCTCAGCGCTGAGAGTGGTGCCCCTTCAAAATAAAATTCATAACAAATTTTAACCATTATTAACCCTTCCCGCTACAGACAATTAGCCCAAGTTTCACTGAACTTAGTATAGTACTAATTTAATTAAAGGTTTTCTAAATTCAGCAATTTTCAGTCAGGACCATCAGTCAGTCAAGACCAGGATCTCCAGCACCCCTAAATAAACCTTATCATGGAGGCTGAGGAGGTACTCCCAATAATTTTCAGTCATTTTCTGACTGAAAATTGTTGGATTGTATACCTGGATTATTGAGCATGGACTTTTTGGTTTTCTAAATTCATTAACCAAAATGTGGCCCATTTACCCTTAAGTAAAATTACCGAGCTGAAAACTCAGATAATGATAGGCGGACATTTAAAGCCAGCTGCTGGGCTGAGCATGGAGCACATCAGCATGTCATTAGTGGTCAGTCGCCTCTTACAGCTTCTTGCTGCTTCTTTGAGGTGGAGATTCTCAACTCAGAGATATTACAGGAGATCAGTCCATGTGGTTTTCCATCTTAACACAAATTCTCACATCTTTACTTAGTGCTTAAATAAACTAACATAAGTTTTACTCTAACACAAGCCCTATCTTTTAAATAAACTGGTCTAAGACAGAGACTAGACAACAATTTTGTTATGTCTTATTGAGTTGATGCTCTCATATTATTTGAATGTGAATAACAGATGTTCTGCTGGACCAGCCTTTCCACCAAGGCTGCAGATGCAGCAGCAAAAGCACAATTCAGAAACACAACAACACAGTTATTACTAATGCTTTTTAAGGCCTTTGCTGTTTATTTTTTTTCTACAACAGCAAATTACATAAGCAGTATTGAAAATAAAAGTCCTATTTTCTTGTTTTGTACAAAGAAAATAAAATCGGCACAAAATCTCAATGACGGTACAAAATTAAGCTCTAAAATGGGCAGGGACATTGCTTTTCAAAAATCTGGTGGCATTAATAATGAAAACATCTTCATTTTTTTAAAACTATTTTCATTATATCAGATAATTTTAAACTAAAGAAAATTAACACATTTTTTCTGTTTTGACTTTCTTTTTTTTTTTGCAAATGAATGCTATAAACACATAAACCTCTTAAATAGATTTTCAGTGCAACATTGTTTCTTTAGAGTCCACGCTACAGTATCCTTTTTCTCTAAACGCTGCAGCTATGGTCCTCTGTAGCTAAAAGCTTAGGCTGAGTGGAGCAGGTCTCAGACTGGAAATGAACAAGCTGAGTATGTTCACCACGGCACAACATACAAAGATTTGACATCACCCTTCTCAAAATCATTTTTTTTAATGATTGTTGTGAGGAAACCCACTGAGTTCCAGGACCTGTGGGTCCTTGTGTCCTTAAGAGTTATCCCAGAATTTCTTTCTACCTTCAAATGTGTAATGATGGGATTGTCTTGTCTGATCATCTGCAAACATCATTCAACATCATGGTGACTTTTGCATTTTATTAAGCTTCAAAAGATGTAGAAAAACAGACCGTCAGTGTTTGATAAGTGTCTCCATGTTCCCTCCTTTTAACCCCTACCAGGGGATCAGGAGTCAAAGCAAGTTCTTTAATGAAGGATGACAATAATAAACTGTGGACTTTTAGTACTTTGTAGATAAGACGCCCCAGCAAACAAGAATGGGGGCAACCATCCTTTGGTAAAGCCTGATTCAGGTGATGCCACTCAACTTCCCCTTGCACTTGCACCACTGTCCCATTCTAATGACATCAGGACTGACATCACAACATGGTTGCTACACGTGAAACACACACAACTATTGGTGGCCAAAAATACCTTAAGCTACACTTTAGCATGTGGAGAAAGCTGGGGTTTTATCTTCAGAAGCATGAGTCTGGTTAAATTACTGATAGCACCATTCATCAGTTGGTGGGTGAACACCCCCGCCCCCCCCCCCATCCCACTCTTTATCAGAATCGTATTGTGAGGGAGGGGACAAAACAAAGTGCGTTCAAGATGCATTGTCCAGATAGCGCTTCTTCAGTTAACACAGTGATGTTGGAGGTGACGACCTGGATATGCTTGTACCTAAAGCAAAGCAGCAGTGGTTAATCCTATTTTCTTCTTTTTTTTCTCTTTTGGTATGCTCATTGACATGAAAATATGTTTTGCTACAAATTGTAACTCAATCAAACCCACATAAAAGATAAGACGTAGTTAGATGAAGTGTGAAAAATGGGATTTTTCTGTGCAAGTGCTTTTCATTCATGTTTCTGTGTTGTTTTTTTTGTAAAGCGAGTTTTTTGATGACACATGGCTTGAACGCATATTGAAGTTATTGAAACATCAAAATCACACAAAAGACCTTGCTTGTTCAAGCAAAATAATCTAAAACCAACACAGCACGTTCTATAAAAAACAGTCAAATTATTGTATTTACACACACACACACACACACACACACACACACACACACACACACACAC